TTTGAGCAAATTATGGTAGTCCGATTTGCACAGATTATTCTGTGAGTTCCACAAATGTTGATGCTTTTTAATGTGCAAATTGTGGTTTATCTTAGAGACAGAAGTCTAAAACCCCCACAACTCACCCTGATTCCAATCAATGTATTAGAAATGGGCAGGAAATCCATACAGCTCAAACATGCTGGACATCTCTAACCTTGACAATATTTTATACATACAATGTATATTTTGATGCGCTGCTTGATAGTATAACAGGGGTAGCCAGGCTTGCTCAACAGAAGAGACACATATGGTGAATGTCAGGTGTTTGGGAGCCACAAGTAGGTGCCCATGGACCACAGTGGCAGGCAGTGAGCAGTTGGGCCATGTGGCGAATGGCAAATGGATGCCTGTGGGCAGTGAGCCACAAAATAAACTTGGTTTGGTCACCTCGGCACTATAACAGGCTCTGATTTACAGCACATGCTTATTTGGATATATGTTTAGACTTGGTTAGTTCAGATCCCTCACCATTGACTGTGTTAGCTAGGAAAGATGTGAACTGCAGTTCAGCAACATCTGAAGGACCACATGTTCTCCGTCCCTAATTTGAGGGATGAAGAAGCAAGCATTAACAAAAGATGAACTCAAATAATATAAACACCATCCTAACCTTTCAAGGTCTTCTTTAAGCTGTGTCACTTTCTCATCTGTTTTTTGCTGGGTTGCTTTATACTCATTCACTTGATCCATGGCATGGTCCAGTTCTGCACCAAGGGCTCTTTTCATGGCCTGGCAAGATGGTTAAAAATATTTTTATTAATATATTTGTCCTTCAAAGAACTCAAAGCAGCTTACATAATCCTTTCCCTCTTTTCAATCCTTATCCTCACAACAACCCGATGCAGTAGATTAGGCTGAGTCAGTGAGGACAAGAACCCGGATCTCTGAGACCCTAGTTAAACACTCTGAACACTACACTGTGCAGTAAGAGAGTTTTTCTTCTATAGAGAATCCAGAAAAAAAACTGCTAACTGAGACAGTTCGGAGTTGCTGTGTAGATCTTTTTGCAGGGAACTTTCAAAGCATTGCCCTTGTAGATTTGCAAAAATGTAATCATATTTCTCCACCAGCAGAAGCAAGTGTTGCTATTGGATCCAAAGGGCACTTGCACAGGTAAAGCTCAAAGTAAGACTATGAGTGGCACCAGAGAGAGGCAAAGAATAGTGTCTCCCAAACAAGGAGCTCACTGGGAAAAAAGGGGAAAGAGGAAGGAATTAACCTGTACGTACCCCAAGTATTTTTCCCCCCCCGCTTCCCAAAAACCTTAGAATAGGAAAAGAGGGTGAGGAATTTACAGTGCAAATCTATGCATGTTTACTCATTAATCAATTCTACCATATTCAATGCCTCTTATTCCTTTTATTAAGTATTACAAAGGCAATGGCTTGCAATAAAATCACTCAGCCTCATTTCTGGAGCTTCATCTTCTGCATCTTTAGACTTCCACTTTACAAGCCCAGTAAAATTAAATCAAAGGTCGCTACCACAGAAGCACAAGGCTGCTCAAAAAGACTAAATTAATGCACAATTGCGTAGAAGGAGGAATTATGTGGCAGCAGTGAATCTGATTCTTGTGAAATGAAAAAATCAGAAGACACACGTTCCAGAACTCCCAGATATGGGCTTAATGATTTTTTTTAAAAGTGACCTATCCAAGTGACATTGCACAGTCTGAAGAAGAAATTTCATTTCAGCCAATTCTAAAACATTCTCCGTCAACAAAATATCGAGCAATATCAGTCTAGTATGGTACGAAGTCTGCTATTGCTTGGAATACAGTATAATAGAAAAGGCTGTGTTTTGCTTCTCTTGTCACCATTTCACTGGAAAAGAGGCTTGTACTGGTGAATCTGATGGATGAGCTTCACGATCTCAAGGATCAGAAGGAAAATTTCAGTAAAATTATAGAAACTGTAAAGGTGTTTGTAGAAGAAAATCTAGTCAGAATGTGAAATAAAGAAGAAAATACACTGTATCTCAAAACACTTTCAAAACTATGTTACTGAATAGCATACTGAATAGCAGAAAGCACTCATCCAAAACTTGATCATGGTTTTAGAATTACAGTTTCCTCTTGTTTTTAATTGCGATATTATTGAGCTTAAGAGATTTACAGACAACTGCATTTTTAATAAGTTTAGTGCTTTCAATCATACATGCTATTATTTTCTTAATCCAGAAAATCTCAGCCTGGAAAATGTTAGAGAGGTAACATGGATGGATTTGAAGCAGACCTCCAAATCATCATATTCAGCTTCTTTAGATCTACATACTCAATTCCTTTTTGGTGAGTGAACATCTAATCAATCAGAGATCACTACTTAGATGCATCCCAGAACATGCCTCAGGTTTCTTAGATAAACAAACCAGATGCCTCAGTTTGCTCTTACTTTTTTTACACTCAGTCTACATTCCTGATCCTGCCCACACTGTTTCAAAAGTAACTCTTCTAAAGAAAGTGTTCTGATTGTTCAATGTGCATTTCCTTGACATGCTTGTGTAGTGCCTGTATTTGGTTTGAAAACCTTTTTCCTTAATGTAATTTGAATTTGGTTAATACATTTTAACAATAACAACAACAATAGCAAAAATAATAACAAAATCACCTAAATCAATATTTGACTTATTTCAGAAAAATATGCCAAGGATGGCAATTTCAGCATGAAATATACCATTATGCTTCATTCAAGGGTCTTAATATGTGAGACACGCCTAGCTCATCTAGAAATAAGCTTTGCTCCTTCCGTCACCCATCCCCCAATATTTTTCTGGTACCAACCATCAAGTACTGTGTTTCCCCAAGAATAAGACCTATCCCAAAAATAAGACCTAGTACTATTTTTGGTACTTGCTAAAATATAAGACCTATCCTGAAAATAAGACCTAGCTGTATTTATTACCAGGGCCAGTGGGGGACATAAAGAGCCTTTTTAAACTTTATTTTTTAACTTAACTTTAACTTAATGCACTGTGTGGCGGAAACATGCTTATGCAGCTCTGCTCCCTCCGCTCCCTGTGGAGGGAGCAGAGCCACATAAGCCGATGTTTCCTCTATAGCGCCGGCTCCTGTCACAGGCGGAGTGATACCAGATGTACATGTATTCATGCTGTTGTACATGAATAAGTGTGGATTGGTGTACACATTAAAAAATAAAAAAGACCTACCCCGAAAATAAGACCTAGTGTGTTTTTGTGAGCCAAAAAAAACAACAAAAAACAGTGTCTTATTTTTGGGGAAACACGGTAACTGAAAGACAGATTCCAGGTGACTTGAACCTCCAGCTTTCCAATGTTTTGAATGGGTTCCTTTTATGGACAGAGGGCAGAAGGAAATCAACCAGAGACTGGAGTGGTTTTGTTATAGTTATAGGATGATCTACCCTCATAAGGAGGTGGTATACCAAGTCCTGTGCAGATTACAAACAGCATTCATGGGTAGATTAAAAACCAACAGGAGTAAGCAGATTGATCAGCTTACTTATCAGACCTATCAGCACACAATTCCAGGTTTGGGCTACACAGTTTTCTTTCCCTGCTTTCAGGTACTTTATTAATCTTCTCTGCCTGTAACTGTTGGAATATGTTCACCTTTGCAGCATATTGCCAGGTTTGGAGCCAGATCTGCCCATCACACTGCCTACTTATGTTAGATGGATTTCAACAAAACCAGTCGTTGCCTCAAATGCTCAGTGACCTGTGTTTTGTTTTAATCAGACCAAGGACTTACCTGCATCTTCCTGAGTGCTTCTTCTGCAGTATGTGCTTTCTGGCTCTGCTGTTCTACTTCCTGTTTTAATTTTTCACATTCTTCACTGATAGCCTGGTAGGATCCATAAAATGTTGATTGATTAAAAAAGATATTGTATCTATAAGCCAAGGGTTACATCTGATGAAATTAGAAACAAAGCATAAAGTATGTGATTTCATTAAAGCATGGGAAGGCACAGCACAACTGTGATGAAGAAGGGATTTAGTATCGTCTAGGATTAAGCACAGAATGACAAATAGTCATTGAGAATCTTTAATATATGTGATATATGTTATGGATTAGTTGTGACAGTATTATCTGTTGTTGTGTGCTGTCAAGTCATCTCTGACTTATGGCAACCCTATGAATGAAAGCCCTCTAAGATGTCTTATTCATGACAGCCCTGCTCAGCTCTTGTAAATTCAAGGCTGTGACTTCCTTTAAGCAGTCAATGCATCACGTATTTGTTGTTCCTTTTTTTTTTTTTTTGGCCTTTGACTTTCCCTAGAATGACTGTCTTCTCCAGGGAGTCTTGCCTTCTCACAATGTGTCTAAAGTATGACAGCATCAGCTTTGTCATTTTTAATTCTAGGAGAAATTCTGGCTTGATTTGATCTGGGACCCATATGAAATATCAACAGGTTTGTTTGGCCAAACTTACTAGGTGCATATGTTGGAGGATCAGGATTGTGGTCCTTCACTCCTTCCACTGGCAGTGCCTTTCCCATCCCCCAGGCCTGTTAGCTACACAGATGTGGATATCAAGTTTGAATAATGCTTACATGCAAAGTTCCAACATCTATAAGTGCAAATTGCCAGATGTTATACAATGTCATATCAACAACATAATTTGGATGTTGCCCTTTTTTCCTGTGTGTGGTTGCTGTTCAAACATGATGCCAGTACATGTACATTTAGCAGGCCTGGAGATGGAACAGTTGTCCAGGCTGATGGAGCTGGAGTATTCCCTTCACCATATTCAGCCTGAACAATTATCGAAATCTTTCCGGCATTCTATTTTAAAAATTCTCAATGTGCATATTGCTTCAGTCTGGCTAGGGCTCATGTGGAAGTGCAAATTCTGCATGGATGGTTTTCAAAGGCGTGTGAAACTGAAGTCATATTTTTTCCCCCAGAATGCTTTCCATCCTCACAACCAAGTGCTGCTCTATGCAACAAGTTGCACCATAGCATGGGTGTTAAACCTTGTTCAGCCCAAGCACCAAACTCAGTTTTGCAGAAGCAAGGCCAAAATACCAAAACACCTGCACAGTTTAGCTCCAAGCTATTACTCTCAGTAATTAAGCCTTTGGAGAAACATGCCAACCTGTCAGAATGGGGAAATTTTGCAGAAGTCAGGAAATCCCCAGATAGGCAGACAGGAAAAAGGGGAAGCAACCTTCAGGGAAATGTGGAGAACTGGTTTGGAACAGGGCAGCTGCCTTTGGCCCACACACCTGAGGAGCAACACCTTTGTGCTACAAGGTCCAAATAGAAATAAGAAAATTGCTATGTGGTTTTCACTTGCTGATCAATTACTTCCGTGTTTAAGGTGTATTTGCAAAAAAAGTGAAACAGTTTTTGCAAGTGAAAAATGCTCTAAAGTAATTTTTGCATAGAATAATATCAGAATACTTTGAATCATTTAATGTAGGATTATCATAACCAGCCATACATCATAACCATTATGGTACATGGCCATTAGGACAGTTAATTAACCACACAGTGCAATCCTATCCTTGTCTGTTCTAAAGTAAACCCTATTGAATTCAACAGGACTTACTCTTAGGCAAGTGTGTATAAAACTGCAGCTTAATTTTAATAAGCAAGGGTCAGAAGTTGAAATTTACCTTGAGTTTTGTTTGATAATTTATAATTTCTGTGCTCAGTTGAAATTTGACTGCAGATAGCTCCTCTTTACTGGTCTCTTGGAGTCTCTGGGCCTGTCGCTCTGCCATCATCAGCTGAGTTTGCATGGCCGGAACAGCTGCGGCACAGACATTAGACTCCTCTAGTTTCTCCTGCAGTCCTTGTTTCTCCTTACTGAGCCTAGAGACATCAAGCTGCAGCTCCTCTCGTTCTTTCGCCACTGTTTCTTTGGTAGTTTTGAGCTCCTCTAAGGCCTGGGACAACTTGTCTTCTGCTTCTGCCTTCTCAGAGGTCAGAGCACAGATCTGAATGCCAAGCTCAGCCATGTCCGTGTTGGTCCTGTGGAGAAGGTCTTTGATTTCCATGTTCTCCAGGTTAACAGCTTCCAGACACTGCTTGGCCTTGGACAACTCATCCTTGAGGCACAGCAAGCTCTTTTCCAGCTCAGCCTTCTGGGAAGCTTCCTGATCTCGCTCTGTTTTCAGCATTTCCTCCTGCTCTTTGTACTGAAGCAATTCCTGCACATGATTCCTATTGAGCATTTCACTTTGTTCTTTCAGTTGCTGGACCACTGTCTTTTGCTCATTCAGAGCAGTCCCTCTGACATCTAGCTTGCCTTGGAGCTTCTGCTTCTCTGTTTCTGCCAGCTGAAGCTTGGCTTGAAGGTCTGTAATCTCCACCTGGAGTCTCAATACCTCAGCCTGGTTGAGATGCAACTGTTCCTCAGAAATAGCCAACCTGGAAGCCAGGTCTTTTGCATCTCTCTCCTGAGAGGCTGCCTTTTCCAACTGATCTTTCTGCAGGGCAGTCTTTTCAGAAGTAAGGGTGTCAATCAGTTTTGTCTGATGAAGGCAAGTTTGTTCAGCATTTGCCTTTTGAACTTCAAGGGCTCCTGCTTTTTGCTGGTACCTCTCGGCTTGTTCTTGCAGCTGTTTGCACTGGTTCTCTAGACTTTTCAATGCTTCATCTTTCTCTGAAACCTGTAATTTCAGAGATTCCTCATCCTGCCTCAAGGAGGAGAGGCTCTTTTCCATCTGCAGAGCATACTCTTTAGTATTCTGGAACTCTGCTTGAAGTACACTTAAGGACTGCTGGGTAGTTTCTTCACTTTGTTTCAGTTCTTGGTAATCAGCCTGCAGAGCATCCAGCTTTTGTTCCAGAGCCTGGTTTTGCCTTATGGCATTCTGCAGATTTTCATCCAGCAGCTTGTTCTGATCCCGGAGTTTCTTCTCTTTTTCATCCACAGACATCACAGCATCATCAATCTGACTTTGGAGCTGTTTCTCAGAGGCTCTCAGGCTAGTAATCTCAGCTTCCAAAGAAGAATTAGAGGCTTCCAACTCTCTCCATTTTGTTTCTAACTTCTGATTGGTTTGCTGCAGCTTTGCACTCTGAGACTTGAGCTTCTCATTTGCTTCACAGATGTTTCTCAGTGAAAAACTCTGCTTTGTGGCTTGCTCCTCCAGTCTTTCTATTGCTTTTCTGAGACTGTCTCTTTCAGAAATAAGTTCTCCCTTTTGCTCTTCTAAGCTCTTCACTGTTTGACCTAGCTTTGGCAACTGAATCTCCAGCAACTCAAGTTGCTCTGTCATGTTTTTTACCTCTTGTTCCATTGTAGTTTTTGTATGGCTGAATGACCCCTCAAGTTCAGCCTTCTCTTTCCTTTCCTGCTCAACTTCTCCCTGCAATGATTTCACACAATCCAACAAATCTGTCAACTGAACTTGAAGATCAGCCACCTCCTTGCCTTTTGCCGTTAGCTTCTTCTGAAGAGCAGACTTTTCAGCTGATACTGTTTCCAGACTGACACATAATTGTTGAGATTCTACTTTGGAGTTGGCAGCAAGACTCTCCAATCTCAATTCCAACTCTTTCTGTAACTCCTCTTTCATATGGAGTTCCTCTTCCATGATTTTAAGCTGAGAAATGTGCTCATTATTGAGCTTCTGAGCATCAGCCCTGTCCTGTTCTGCTTTATAAAGTTTTTTTAGTAACTCCTCAATTTTCAGGGCAGATTCATATTGACTGGTGGCTTGATGATCCTTTTCATTCATAAGTGCATTGGCTTTGGCTATGAGCATCTCGTTCTTCTGTTCTGCCGACTTCAGCTTGGCTATCAGCTCCCCAATGCAGTTGTCCTTCATGGCCAGTGAAGTCCTGCTGGCCTCCAACTCTTCATTCAAGACATGGAGCTTAGAGTCAGAGTTCTTCTTCCTGGACTCCAGCTCTTCAAGCTTGGCAGAGTATTCTTTTTGCTTTTCAGCAGCATTCAATTCTAATGCCTGCAAGCATTTCTGAAGCTCCTGGACAGCATCCTGAGTGCAGTGAGAGATCTCACGCTGCTTTTCCAGCTCCCCAAGCATTTCCATGAGTCTAGTGTTCTCCTTGCTGAAACTGCTGCTCTTGTCCCTTTCTGCCTGCACTTGCTGTTTCTCAAATTCAATGGTTGCCTGAAGGTCCTGGTTTTCCTTTTCCAGATGGTGAATCCTAACCTTCAGCTCCTTCTGCTGTAGCTCTGCCTGGTCAAGTGCTGCATGCAACTCATCCAGGCCCTCCAAGGGTTCAGCATTTAAGAAGTTATTCTCACTGGGACTAGAAGGTGGCTCTTGGGTCTGAGAAGAACAGGGAAGGAAAAGAAGAAGTTTATTTAGAAGAATAGCTGTCCTTTTGTTTAAAATAAAGGAAATTGACATCAGAATGCATCCTAAATTGGTAAAAAGAAAGGTTTGCATTTAAAGGAAGGAATACCTTACAACGTTCAGGAAAACTGGACCAACAGGTTTACATAAAGCTGAGTGCTATGGAGCTAAATGGGGAACACACAGCAAGTACAGACAATCAGGAAACCCAGACAGCCAACTACAATAATGACGCAATGTACATATCAAAATTCCCCCTTTTGATAATTTAACAGTGATAGGTCATAACCATGATGCTTACACATAAGGTGATCAGAGTCAGAATTGCACTGGTACTTCCCTTAAAAGGAGCTGCAGCTTATGCATTTCTTTGCCAATGCAGTTACCTGCAAATAGCTGCTCACCAAACTGCTCATGCTCGAAGTGCGGCTTGGAGGCTTCCACAGGTAAGCCGAGGAGCCAAGAGAAGATAACGTTCTTCTGAAAATGGATTTTAAGAATTAAAAAATAGGAAGAAAGGCACATATTTTCAGCAGTTGCAACAACTACCCACTTGGCTCTAAGTTGGGAACTGGACTTTCTCTTTCAGTACATCTGATCCTACTGTAAGGAACGCACACAATTAGGGTTGTTTACACCTGCACACATCTCTTCCTAGAAGCAAACCTTATTTGTATTATCCTTTTGAAAATCTGACCTGACCCAGAGATGCATTGGAAGGATTTAAGTAGGACTCATATGTGGAAATGTAGTAAACTAACCTCAAGAAAATCCCAGTTGACTACTGATTCATATATATTAAATCATTAATGTGTGCCAAATGCCAACAAATTGTAGTAAAGTATATACATTACCAAAGCCTGGAAGCAACCATTTTACATTACCTAGCAAAGGTGGGCCATGCTGAATCTAAGTCATAGCCTCTAGATGCCAGATCAAATTGAACCTCGGTGAGTTCATAGAGGTGACCAACAATATCAGAGCTCATTTTGGGGCTGAGGAAGGGGCTTCTTGCATAGTACCAGTCACTAGAGAAACAAGGATTGCAGTAAATTACAAAAGTGGCTCACATCTGCAATTCTCGACCAGATGTATTATACCAAAGGAATGACAGCATTGTTAGTTATATACATTTCAGAAATGCTACACAGTTCTGTGTAAACAGCAATCTTTCTATCACAATCAAGTGGGACTACTATGAGTAGCCTCTCTGCGGCAGATGAAAAGCTCATGCCACAGAGAATCCTTACCCCAGTATATTGCAGACAAATCAGCAAACATTAGCTGCAACTAAGTTCCACTGCTCTTTCCATTCCTTTTGTTACCTTTTGCATTATGCCTAGCAAACCCACTGAAAATCTGCTATTGGAGAAATTAGCTCACAAACAGCCAGCACTTTTCAGTACCATCACACAATGCAGGGGGCCCTCTTGTGTGAGCCATCCCTTAGGGAGGTAAGAAGGGTGGCTAGTAGGAAGAGGCCCTTTTCTACCGATGCTCTCCAGTTATGGAATGTTCTCCCTAAGGAGATTCGCCTGGCGCCTTCCTTGTACTCCATTCAGTGCCAGGTGAATACCTACCTCTTTAAGAGATATTGTAATATCCAACAGATGCCACCACACCACTTTTTATTAGTTTATTCATATTTATATGATTTATATTTATAATTGATTTTATACTTGTCTTATTCTGCCGTTTTCTGGTTTTTATTGTTAAGAGTGCATTTTAATTATGTGATTGTTAGCCACCTAGAGATGCCACTGGCGAGATAGGAGACATACAAATGTGTTAAAATAAATAAGCTTTGAATAAAAGCAACAATAACATTTACCTGGTTACTTTGGTATTCATAAAGCACTGCTGCAAAGTGTCTGCAAGCCTTTGGTGTACTAAGGAGTAACGGAGAAATGCCCTGCCTTTACCAAGGGAAGTTCTCAGCTAGGGAAAAAACAGAACAACAATTTTCACATTATTTAATGATTTACAAAGCATTCTGCTCAGCCAGTGTTTCATATTAAAAATCAGGGGCCAATATGATAGACTCAGGGGAGACTCAGTGATCCACATATAGACCTTGTGCTCCATTTGTGGCTGCTGTGTTGTCAAATTTTGGGAGTGGTGGCAAAAAAGCAGAAATTCCCTTTTAAAACAAGGTGCAAAGAGAACACTTGGTTTTAAAGTAAAATGATCACTTTGTGGTTGCCACCAAACCCTCAGACTTTGGCAGTGAGGGATGCAACCCATCCTGGGCTGCGGAACTAGCCCTTGGCCTCCAGAAACTGTCCATCCTTGCAGGACAAGCTTTGATGTTTTTATAGATCAGACCTCTGATATACTATTAATGGGGTCATCTCATGCTCTTTTTTTTTAGGAAGAGGGCAACTGCTTGGGTGGAGATCTCATTAATGTTGACAAACGGCATCATAATTGTGAAAAGAAGGCAAAAAGTCTTCAAATGAACATTCAACATGCTACTTCTGGGAATCTTAAAAACCATTTTTACTCCTTTATAACCGAGGAACCCTTAATAACAATGCCAAAACTCCTACAAAATATTGAAGAGTATGGCGAGGTTACTGGGATGAAAATAAACAGAGAAAAGATGAAATTGTTAGTAAAAAATCTCACACAGGAACAGAGAAAAACTCTTGTGGAACAAGTAGATCTTCAAACAGTTAAAAAGGTTAAATGTTTGGGATTTTTTCTTACAGCTAAGTACAGCTAAGTAAGTACCACATTGAAAGAAGACAATTATGATAAACTATCTAAGGAAACTAAGAGTGATCTGGAAAAATGGGCTAATTTGCAATTATCTTTGCTGGGAAGAATAGTGCTAGTTAAAATGAATATATTACCAAAGCTTTTGTTTCTAATTCAAATGATTCCCATAAAAATTGATACAAATTTTTTTGATGATTTAAATTCTCAAATCTCGAGATTTATATGGAGAAAGAAGAAACCAAGGATTAAATTAAAAATGCTTCAGGAGGCTAAAGAGAATGGAGGTTTTGGTCTTCCCAATTGGATGTTGTATTATCAAGCTTCTGTTTTAACGTGGCTAAAAGAATGGATAACTTTAAGAAATAAGAGAATCTTGTATCTTGAAGGGCATGATTTGCAAATGGGTTGGCATGCTTGTACGTGGTATGAAAAGTGTAAGGCACAGGGTTGTTTTTTAAATCATTATATTAAAGGTAAAGGTTTCCCCTTGACATTAAGTCCAGTCATGCCTGACTCTAGGGGGCGGTGCTCATCTCCGTTTCCTAGCCAAGGGAGTCAGCGTTTGTCCGCAGACAGTCTCCGTGGTCATGTGGCCGGCATGGCTAAACACCGAAGTGCACGGAACGCTGTTACCTGCCCACCGAAGTGGTGCAGATTTGAACCAGCAACCTTTCGATCAACCAGCCCAGCAGCACAGCGGTTTAAACCACGGCACCAAGATAGCTTTCACCTATGGAAGCTCTTGTATATTCAAATGCACTGAATTTTGAAACGATTGTAAGATATGATGACATTTTGGATAATGATGGAGGACTGAAATTGAATCAAGCAATACAAGAGCAAGGAGCTAATATTTCTTGGTGGCATAAGGTGCAGATACAATTGAGATACGCTAAAGACTATAGAATGTGGGGCTTCTATAAAGACAACAGCATTTGATCAGGTGATTCTTAAATCAGATGAGAAAATGATTAAAAGATATAACTTCTTATTAGATAAAAGAATGGAAGATGAACAGGTTATGAAAACTATGATAATGTGGGCACAAAACTTTGGATATAGTACTGAATTAGAAAAAAGGCAAAAGCTGTGGGAAAGAAATATTAAAGTAACATTAGCAACTTCATATAAATAAAACCTGTATAAAATGTTTTATAGATGGTATCTGTCACCAAATAGATTAGCTAAGATGTTTCCGAATATGTCAAATGGATGTTGGAAATGTAAACACAAACTGGGTACTTTTTATCATATGTGGTGGACCTGTGATAAAGCAAAAAATATTGGATTAAAATACATAAATGGCTTGAGAAAATGTTACAAAAATTTTTGGCATTTAAACCTGAAGTTTTCTTATTAGGTATTATACCTGATGATGTTAGCAAACAAGCAATGTATTTGACTCTACATGTAATCACTGCGGCGAGGATTGCATTTGCCCAACACTGGAAGAGTGAAGACCCACCTACCAACGAACTGATCCTAAAAAAGATCTTGGACTGTGCAGAAATGGACTGACTGACTTTGTCATTGAAGGATAAAGAAGATACAGACTTCTGCCAAACTTGGGACTTTTTTTATTATTGGCTAGAGAAATGGGGCTTCGCATAGTTTTAAATCTGTTTATAATTTAACATAAAAAGAAATAATGTGGGGGGCTGATCCAGTAGGTCCGATGTTTCTGATGATTGATGTTGTTTTTAGGGGAGTTTTTTTGTGTTAGGTTTGCTTAGAATAAAACTTATTAAAAAAAACCCCAAACCTTTTTACTCCCTCCACTTTCTCTCTCATGTATGCGCACATGCGCACACATATGCATACACATGCATACAAATTCCTGTGTAGGGCAAGGAAAAAGGCTACCTGCGAAGAAAATGGCAGCCTTGCACTTGAGCACTTCTGCATTTCACTCAAGTGGACTGGGGAAATGGCTAGCATCCTCCCACTCCCATGTCCATGCAGTTCTTCCTTTTGCACTTCAACAGGGGACTCTAGTGAAGTTGGAGATAGTTCCAAAACAAATTGGCCATTTTTTGGAATCCTAGCTAATAAAATAAGCTAGCACTATAAGTATAGTGTATCCTGTTTACTCCCATTTTACTTTTCCCTCCTGGTGGGTTAGCTTATCTTACACATTCAGGAAGCAATCCTTCCCCATTTGTTGACCTGCTTGTGCAAAGAGAAGAATGAACGTGCTTTGTACCCCAGCTCAGACAGATGAGCAGGCTCACCATGGTATCGTCTCCCATGGATATTCTTGGAAATTTTGCAGCAGAATCCACCTGACTGCTTCCACCTGCCATATTTTACAAGATGAGGCTTTGTTATTCCTTTATTTTTTCATGGAAACCATAAACTGGACAGCCAATTTTTGTAATCTTTGGACAGCCACAGACAGCCCCTTTACAGTACCCAAATGGCCCCCTGGAGAGACTGCTAGTCATTGGCAAAGTATTTTTTTTTTAACAGTATACATGTGGCCCAATGTGACTCATTTTTGTTTGTTTTTTAGTTGCACTTGTAAAACTGCATACATGTACAATTCTGAAAGAGTGGAACTCAACAACTGTCCAGGGACAGAGCAACAGGTGCTTCTTTGAAAAAAATATCCCTTCATGGATCACTGCCTTGCCATGGTGAAGGGGCTTGTGTAGCACAATGAAGCTACGAGTGATGCCGTGCAGGGGCACCCAAGATGGTCAGGTCATAGCAGAGAGCGCTGACAAAAGATGATCCACTGGAGAAGGAAATGGCAACCCACTCCAGTATCCTTGCCATGAAAACCCCATGAACAGTACCAAAAGGCAAAGAGATATGACGCTGGAGGATGAGCCCCTCAGGTCAGAAGGTGTCCAATGTGCTACTGGAGAAGAGCAGAGGGCTAGTACTAGTAGTGCCAGAAAGAGTGAAGCGACTGGGTCAAATCTGAAAGGACACTCAGTTAAGGATGTATCTGGTGGTGAAAGGAAAGTCTGATGCTGCAAATGAGGTGGCTAGATGGAGTCACTGGGGCAGTGGGTGGGAGTTTGTGTGGACTCCAAGGGGTGGTAGAGGACAGGAGAGCCTGGAGGAATGTTGTCCATGGGGTCATGATGGGTCAGGCACAACTTTGCGGCTAAACAAGAAAAATTTAAAAACAATTGTCTGTCAACCACTGCCAACCCTTTCAGTGTGTCACTTGGGCACTCTGAAGAAGCTGTCAATGATGTCAAAATGGAAGCAGTAAAAACCAAGTGTTGTCAGTCATATACTGTGAAAGGCATGGCAGGACCACAGGCAAAAGTGGATTCAGAATTAGGTGAGTGACAAGACACAAGGAAAAATATCGTAGAACTGAAGACAGACACTGGGCCAGGAGCACAAAACAGCTGCCACAATCACTTGTGTTGTTGTAGCAAAGCTATGTGGTGTTTGAAAGCCTTTTATAAGGCCTTTGTGGCTCCCAGACAGGCTGCATGATTGCACTGGCCCTAAAGTGCATACAGGTCTGATGTGAATCCAGCAAGTGTTAACCATTAGCCTGGCTTCCTTCTCTATCAAGCCAGGAGAGGGAGCTGCATAATTTGCAGTTCTTGACAGAAAGGTTGTGAAAACTCAGTCATTGTGATTGATAAAGCCAAGGAGTGGCAATCATGCAGAATGAGACCTACTAATAAATCTCTGGAAGGATTGCAGTAAAACTCCAAGAGTTTCTGATTTTATCCACTGCAAGGGAATAAAACAAAACTTCTGCCACGGTTGATCATGTGCTAATGGCTTCTCCTTCAGGGCACAACATTTGAAGGAACATACTTTCAAACTAGGAAAAGCTGCATGGAGATGTCATTGACAGGACATTATGGAGGGCTTTCACACATAGGCTCACCCTAAGTTGGAGATGACTTGTCAGCACATAAAAATATAGCAACAACAAACTGTGAAACTAGAGCCCATCCGCAGGAATAGGGCTGCCTTGGGAGATAGTGACATCTCCTTTAATTAGTAATAATTTTCCAGCTGAGTGCTGAGCCACTCAACAACTTGGAAAGCATGAGGGTGGTACTGTCAGTTGTTTTTAGAAGGCTTAGCAGTATGAACTTGCCTTAGTTGTCTAAGTTTGTAAAATCTGGTTAAAATCTGCATCATCATCATCATCATCATCATCACATTGCTTTTATATCCCATCTTTTTTCCTCTTATAAGGTAACCAAGGTGGCCTCCATTTTATCCTCCCAACAGCTATTTTGCAGATTAGCCTAAGAATGAGTAACTGGCCCAAAGTCACCCAGTGGACTTCACAGTCAAGTGAGGACTAGAATTGAATCTTCCATGTTGCCAATCTAACCCATACCACACTGGCTCTCACACTCTCTTCAGTGAAAATTGAAGATATTTTTATAGTGATTTATATTTTATATTTTATTATATTTCCTTGACTGTTCTACACTGTCCAAAGAACTTCAGCTATTGGGCAGCAAAGAAATAAAATTATTAATATTAATAATAATATCAGCAGATGCTGCCACTATAACCACCACAATGTGGTGATGGGAGTGTGTCATAAACATGTTTTTTCTCTCTCTCGTGCTGCACTCCAAGTCTTGACATGGAGATGTCCATACCTGAGCATCAGTAAGGGAAGGAGAAAGAAAGTCTTTCCTAGTGAGTGATATGGATATATGGGTCCAAAGGCAGAAGCTCATCCAAAGAAAACCCTCGAGGAAATGTCTTGGCTATGTTAGGGCTGCTGAGGATGGCCTCAGCCCCAAAGCCTCAGTTTTATCTATGATTCCCTGTTCCCTCTCTCCTCTTTGCTCTCAATATACAGTGGTACCTCAGCTCACGAACGCCTCAGTACATGACCAAATTGGGTCATGAACAAAAATTTCATAAAAATTTAGACTCAGGTCACGAACTCCACATTGGGTGGCAACCGTGATCGTGGCCATCTCTCCACGCCTGTGAGTGGGAAGATGGCCGTGATTGTGCTGGGGGGCGGGGGGGGGGGGGAGATGGCCGAGATCGCACCTGTCTTTCTTGCACGAGCACACCTGTGATTGCGCCTGTCTTTCCTGCACAGGTGCAACTGCGATCTCAGCCTTCTCCACCCCCCCGCACAATCGTCCCCATCTCTCCCCCCAGCACAATGGGATGACAGGCTCATGCAGAGATGACAGGCATGATCGCGGTCATGCTGGGGGAGGTGAGGAGATGGCTGTGCTCGGGGGTGGGGGGAGATGGCCATGATCTTTGTTGTTCTTTCTCACTTTGCTTCACATTTTTCTGATTAAAAAAAAACAGTTGCAGAACAGATTACCCTTATTTACATTGCACCTTATGGGGAAATTTAACTTGGCTCACAACCAGTTTGGGTCACGACAAGAGTCCTGGAACAGATTAAGTTCATGATCCAAGGTACCACCGTACCGTGTATTAGGACCTTGTATCCCATCTCCCTCCACAACCTGCAAAAATATGACCCTTCTTCTCTGGCCCTCCTCACTGCGCAAAGCACTATGATAATTGAAGATGCTCTCAATAATATATTACACACCCACTGCATGGACTGCCGCTGTAGCAAGAGTTCTTCTGGGCAAAGCCTGGGTCTTTCTGTGGATCTGTCACCTGCTACAACCTTCTCCTTTATTTCTGGTACGCCCATACTTTTGAGCCAAGACCACTCTGACAGAAACTTCCTTTATTTTGTACTGGCTGTGTTTTCAAAGCGGAACAGACTCCAGACATGATTCTAAATTTAAGGAAGTTCACTATGACTCAAGAGTGGGTCGAAATAGCCTCAGTGATTGGTCCATGTGAGAGAACAACAGCTGTGTTTACTCAGTAAAAAGAAGATATGAGGAACAGAAAAAAGGCATGCAAGATGCTGTTAACTTTTGTAACTTGAAAGAAGTCAAGGTGGCTCATGGGTTATTTTTCTGCACCTGAGAGCAGTGCCAACCTTTTCTGGCACACAGCTGCAATGCCAAATAAGGGAAGAACCATGCTGGATCAAACCAAAGTCCACGCAGCCAAGCATTCGGCTCATGCAGAGACCAGCCAACCGCCTGTGTGGAAAGCCCACAAGGAGGACATGTGTGCAACAACACCTTCCTACTCATTTCCTCCTGCAATTGGCATGCTGAGGCCTCTCATTTCAGAGGCAGCATATAGTACTATCTGCACTTGCCAATAATGAATGTAGCCAACAGTGTTTCTTGTGACTGGCTGGAAGAAAATGCCACCAATGTGAACACAGGGGTAGCTGATTCCTGACTGAATTTATTATTTGCTAGCTGGTCCTCATGAACATCACTCTGCCTGATCACTCTAGTGGCTAGCAAGCTACAGATTCTCTGTCTGTGGTTTGTTTATCACAACATCTGGACTGGCTCATCTCCCCAAATAATCCAGAGACATGAAGCGTGGCTTGTTACTGGCTTATGACTTTGGGTTGTTTGGGGAGAGACAAGCCTTAGGTCATGTGTGGGACAGCTTCAATTAACCAAGAACTGGATAGGCTCTCAGGTTTCTTCATGCAGGGGTGTTCATGTGGAGAAACAAAACATGTTGTGTGAAACAGCCATGATCTATATGTAGACTGAAGGTCAATGGATCTGACAATGTGGAATGGGGGAGATTAAGGACCACATCTATTTTAATGATATTTTTGTACTGCAATATCAAAGCACTGAACATATCCACATTTACATATTGGTGCTGACATACATGTTTGCCTTTTCCCTGCTCAAAATTTGTCATCCTACATGCTTAGATTTACAAATACCAGAAATAGAACCTGAGAATCCTGTGTTAGAAGTGCACAAACCTCCTTTGTAAAGGGAGAGATGTTCAGGGACTGATGGAGGGGTTCATGCGATGGAGCCTAGACGTTAACATAGGCAGCTGGTTACCCATGTGGGAACAAGATGCTGGAATAGACAGGACTTCAATCTGATCCACCATGGGTCTGATATGCTTCTAGATTGGTCTGTCAGAACTGTAATGGCAAATTGCTGAGCTGTACTTACTTCTGTAATAGACTTGACAAAGCGAATTCCATCATTTGCTCCTTTAACCTTAGCCAGACAGTCACAGAAATAATCCCAGTAGTCTTTCCGGTTGCCCAGTAAAGTGGATTTTCCCTTTTGGTCAAACTTTGGAACAAACAAGAGAAAACCAGTGAAACATCACAAAACATCCATTTATCTTTTCAGGGGCACATCCCACAATTATCACATGGATTTTTGATAAACCTATAAATAATTTAATGTTAAACAAATGGGCAAAGCTATCAAGCCTAAAACTGACTATATTTGACCTGCAAGTCAATTAAAGCCAAGCAATTGGACCAAAGCTGAGGACTCTCATTCTGTTGACTTGAACAGCAAAGACAACCAATTCTACAGGCTTGGTTTTAGTTGTACAGAGATAAGAATTTACAAAGTATGACAAAATTCAATAAGAACCAGGGAAAATAGTGTCTCCATCTATTTTCACAGTGCTATCCTTGGTTCCATTTCTTGAATATGCTACAAAAGAATTCAGGAAATGTTTGTCACATATATGTATTATTAGTTGACAGAGCAGTCCTATGGCTAGACAACTTCTACAGTCATAGGATTTTTCAGATTCCTATCAACAAGGTCAGAATAACCTTGTAGCTGCGGAGCTACCCTTGGTTCCCCTCTCTCTATCATGGTTGGCACAGAAAGAACCACGGCAGCTGCTTCTCTGAGGTTATAATGATCTAGGAGATGGGATTTAGGAGGTGTTTCTGGGCGAGTATGGAAAGGAATAGGTCAATGCCACCAAGAGAAGGTGTATCTCAGTGGCATCTCGACCACTTTCCTTCCTGCTCCAAAGCACCATGCCTAAATGGGCGCTTTACATAGCAAGTGGAGTGCAGTGGCAAGCTTTGCCTGTGTGGTGCCTGTAAACCCTCATGTTCCAACAGCTATAGGAAACTCCAGAAGATTGTGCCCTGAGTTAACTAAATATTAAAATTCTATGCAATGTGCAAAACAGTGTCTAAGATTACAATAACATATTGTTACTGTTACCAGAAGTCAAGATCACTTTTCTTGGATTGAGTGTCGGAACAAGCGTATTTTCCTTAAGGACAAAAACTTGGAAGGCCCATTTCATTGGTATTCATAAGAAGTGGATGATATGATACTAAAAGCTCTATCAGGAGCCATCATGCACCTGATGTCTGAAGCCTTACGCATGACCAGGTAATAAGTGCAGCAAATGAAGAGGCAGGTAAGGGAACAGGTGATCTTTTATAGAAGGGTATCACTCCTGTAGGCAAGTTGACTCTTTTGAATGGGTACTTAAAACTCACAGCACATACTATTAGAGTTCTAAAGTAAAATAGTGTACTTTTAGCCTCAACTTACACAGTGCACCTCTCATAAAATACTTTTTGGCCTTCTTTTTCTTTTCTTTTTAATACAGTAGGATGCCTGTATCCATGGAGGATAGGATTCAAGCTCCCTAGGGGATGCCTGAAACTGCAGATAGTAGCAAACACTATATACTCTACAGTCAGCCCTTCACATTTGCAGGATTTAGGGGCACAAGACCCCCCCACCTCGAAAGTGGAAAAACTACAAATAGCTCTAGTTCCCCCACATTGCTTCCCCCTCTCGCTTTCTCTTTGTTAGCTCCGGGGACAGCATGCCATTCTGGGTCGGCCACAGCCAGCAGGGTACACGGTGACTTGGGTAGCGGCCGGGAACAGGAGAGCTCGCTGTGCAGCTGTCTGTGGAGAGACATAGCGCTGTCTGTGCAGGCCCACTACCTCTCTCTGAAATTTTCTGTTTAATTTTTTTTTCAGACCATGGATAAGTGAAACCATGAATATCTGGAACAGCAGATGCAGAGATTTTACTATATGTGGATTTCCTTGGGATAGTTTGCAGTGAACTATTCCTTAAAAGTAAATATTCTGATTATCAATGTCTCTACACTCAATGGGTTCATGTGCAACCCACCACAGGGAGACAATCCATCTATGTAGTTTATGTACAGGGTGGATTGCCATATTGTGCTAATTCATTCTGCTGCAAACAACAATGCTCATGAAATGTCCATTTGAAAATTATATGGTTGCTTACCTGCAAAAGGTACTCAAGCTTGTAGGAGAATTTGTGCAAACTAGTACAGTCATCTGTGATTGGTTCTCCTGCTTCTGTAAACTCTTTGTTCAGTTCTGTCACAGCATCTTTGGAAAAAGAACACAAAGCATCATTTGTGGGGCTAAACAGAAACAATGTGTGAATCACTGAACTGATCGCCTCTTTCTTCTCCATCAATGTATTTTATGTCTTATACCAAGATATTGGTGAGTTGTCAAGATCAACCATTAAAATGCACGACAGAGGGGGAAATATTGGTTAAACAATTACACTTTATCTTGTTTTTGCCACTTAATCCTGCTTTTAATATTAAAGCAGGGCTAATTTATAAACTGCCATAGCACGCATGCATGTATGTGTGTTTGAACTGTAAGTCTGCAGAAAAGAACCAGACCTTAAAAACTCCTGTACAGCACCACCCATGGATACTTTGTATGTAAAAACTGTGTAGGAACCAAGGAAAAGTACAAAATAAGTTATTGGCATAGAATTCAGCTTCTTTAAAAGCTCAGGTGTCATTGGGTTGGTAGGGAGTAAGTTTCTAGTCCTTATTGCTTAAAAATTTTGCTTCAAAGAATGTGAACCACATCTATTTCAAAATCCAGAAAGGGAGTCAACAACAACAAGATTATTGTGAGTGTGATATATGTGGTCTGCCCTGCAAAACAACTTGCCTCTCTCTAGGACTAATGAAGCTAATACATGCTGAATAGCAATAATTTGCCACAACTCACTTGTTTTTATGCTAATATATATTTTCTGGGGAAAACCACCTACTATTCTCAGCAAGAAGAAGAGGTAGACTTGCTGTGTTTCAGTTTCGTGTGCAATTTATATTCAAAACAAAGGGAACGGAATGATCAATCTCTGTGTGTATATATACATGTGCATGTTATATGTTCAGTGCCTGCATTCACATGCACCCACATCATCAGCCTATGCTGGTTATTAGTCTTTCAGAACACTACCTGTGGAAAGCTGGCACTGAGTTTGCCAATACCAGATTGCTCCTGTGCTTTTTTTAAAACAGGATTCTGATGTTTAATGCTATTATGTTGACTATTTATTCTGTTTATTACTTTCAGTGTTTATAGGCTGCCTTCTCAAGGTTTCAATTCCAAATCATCTCACAAAATATTAAAACATAACATTCCTATCAACATATTACAGACCAACCTTAAAAGACCAACCAATGGCTTCCAAGCACAAACATTTGTGGACTATAGCCCGTCTTGCATCTAAGGAAGCAGGCTACAGATCACAGAGGCTTATGCTGGAATAAATTCTGTGTGCTGCAAAACTCTTTGTTGTGCTTGCCCCAAAAAATTAAAGATGCTGCCCTCTAGAAAATATTACAAACCATAACATGTCACGGGGAATATGAGAAGCTCTCACTAAAACAGTGAATGACTACTAGTCCTGATGTTCATAGGCTACCACCAGTATCAGAGGCAGTACACCTGTGTACACCAATTGCTGGGGATCATGGATAGGAGTGTGCTGTTACAATCATGTCTTGCTTATGGATTTCCCATGGGCAGATGGCTGGCCATTGTGTGAACAGAATGATGGACTAAATGGATCTTTGGGCTGATCCAGTATGGCCCTTCTTATGTTCCCTTCACTAGTCCTAAAACAGGACACATTTCATTTCATTTCATTTCATTAGTAGGCTTGAAGAAACTAGCCAATGTTGTGTTTTGAACCTAAGATGGCTTCCATGGGATAGTTGCAATGTACATAAACCTAAACTTGCTCATGTTTCTGAACTTAAGTCTGTTACTTGCCACGTCCACTGGCACAACATGGCAGCTTCACTCTTTCTCTTTCTTCCATAAGAGTAGGAAGAATGTGTCAGGTACAAAGAATGGGTTTACCTTGCAAATCTCGAATGATCCTCTGAAGCTGACTTTCTCCACTACTGCTCGCCATTGCCAAAACCAAACGTGCTAAGAGGCTGCACCATTCAACTTCACAAACAGCTATGTCAAGTGAGCAGAGTTCATTCTTTTGGTGACCACTTGGCTAGCAGCAATTCATAGTCTTGGCAGCATCAGCAAATCTAGAGAAAAGAAATAGTTTTTATTTACAAATACAGTGGTATTTTGGATTTTTGAAAGCATCTCTTTAACCTGAGAAACCATGAATGAAACCTGTAGCCTATGGCAATCATTGTCTAAGCTCTACCACAGGGCCATAAAAGCTAGAACAACAAAGAAAGACTGACAAAATTGCTGGCTTGAATTTATGTTCATAGAAAGATGTTGGACCATTGTAGGAAAATGAGTAGTTAGACAGTTGTAAAAAGGAATTCTCTACACAAAGAAACCTGGCACTGGAAGTACAATATGGTGCAACAACTATTCAGTTATCCAGCACTGGAAGATAATTAAAGTAAAATGATCCTAAAGTGTAACAGTTTGGAAATGGATTGCACTTTAGCTGTATAGCTAGCTAAATGTGATGATCATTTGCAGTATGCAATGCTCTTAAAGGAGCTTGATTCTGACTGTTTTAAAAGAAGAATCATGTCATGTCATCAATATTATTTTTGATTGACAATGAAACTATTTCCTTCCTTCACTGCCCATTTGCTTAATCCCAAATCCAAACTCAGTAACTATGGAAACATTCAGAAGAGAAACTGTTCAGAATCCACTTTTAGAATCCAGTTGGCATTTCGCTGAAAGATTCACATAAACTAGAAAGAAATCACTGCACTGCAGTTGTGTAACTAAGCAGAACCTGTACACCATGGTGCAAGATATATATACTGATGTGACAAAGTAAAAATGCTTTCACTTTCACTTTTCTTTAGAAGCATTATTATCAACCCACCCTAAATGCGACCCATACAAATTAACACACACATCAATTTGTTGTAATTTATATTATAATTGCTTTTATTTATTGTTTGTAAGCCACCCCGAGGCTTCGGCGAATGGGGCGGCATAAAAATGTTTTAATAAATAAAAATAAATAAAATAAAATTCTAGCTGGACTGGAAGCCAATAAAAGAAAGCAACAGCACTGGTCACAAACTCTTGCTTCCGATACAGGAATGTTGAACCTCTTTTAACCCAAAGACAAAATTCCAGCGTGGAGAAGTTCCAGTTTGGAAACAATGACTCCACATTCCAGTGATGTGTGAGAACAGGCAAAAAGGAGCAAGCCCTGAAACACCAGCCTGTTTTAGCTTAGTACCCCTTCCGTTAATAGCCAAGCCTTACAAGAGGCACTGGAACGCATTAGAATATGGGGAAAACTTCACAAAAACCATCAGACAATTGGTGTTTCAGGGAAGGAAGTGCTTGTCTGGAGAGTCTGATTGGCCAGCTGTCCTGAGATTCTGCACCCAAATCCTAATAGGCCGTTCTTGCTCTCCAGGGTAGCACAGCAAGTTTCGCCATCTTTCTTTCACTGGTCATACTTTCCCCATCCTTCTGCTCTTGCATCATCTCAACATTGCAACACCGTTACTGCCAGGATCTCAGAGGCCCATCAAAATCAGTTGTGTCTGACACTACTGACCCTGCAGCACCATATGTCCAAGAACTGGATTTCAACACATTTCCTCTCCAATGACTACTGCACAACTCTTAATCACTGATGTACTTTCGGAAGAAACAGCTGTGGTTTCTGTTCCTTCAAGGCTTGCTGGCCATAATAAGGGTGGGGATGGCCAGAATGGTTGGCCACCTGTGCACGAGTCATTGTGGTATGGAGTTTAAGTGTTTTTCCTGTAAAGTTGCTAGAGTGCTGTTCCTAGGCAAACTGGTGTGTGGCAACAGCAGGGTATAGCTGGATAGTTTTTCAGTCTTGCTGAGTTTGTTCTTTGAACACTGTGACTGGGTTGTGGTGTTCCTGCTGAAGGAGGCTAGGAAGTTTTGTTGTATAGATCAGATCACTTTAAGTGAGTTTAAAGTATTTATTGGAAGTATCTCTCCCACTCCTTTCTATAATGGCTTCCCAACTGGTTTCTATACTAAATGGTGTTTCTACAAATCTCTTATACCAATATGCACAACTGGATCTTTAGAGAGAGTCAGTGAGACTAACAATGCAATCCTAAATATGTCTTCTAAAATGTAAGCCCCATCGAATTCAATGAGACTGACTTCAATATAAGTGGTTACAAAACTGCAGCCTAAATAAGTAGAATTAGTGACTGTGGAACAGGAAACCACCATTGCAAGCTGCAATATTATATCATAGCCTGCCCCAGTCTGATGTCCTCCAGACGTTTTACACTACATCTCCCATCAGCCCCAATCAATAAGTCTACAAGCCATGGTAGCTGCAGACCATGAGATCTGAAATGCACCAGCCTGGGCATGAGTGCTGGCTCTGATTACCTGGGAATAAGCACCATTGAATGTAATGCAATTTATTTCTGAGTAAGGTTATATGTACACTTGTGTCACTGTTATACTACTTTTCCCCATCTTAATTTTTCACCTGTAAAGTGGGGTAATAATAATCAACAGCCTATAGAGCTGCCGTAAGAGTAAATGCAATCACAACCTTGGCAAAATATAGGATTGAGAGTATAAATATAATATGTTAAAGATGATTAGTGAGAGCCTATGTACAGCATCCTGCCCAATGAACGAAAGGAATCAAAGTGAGCCTTTATGTTTGACATGTGAGTCTCACTTAGTTCATAAACGAAAAAGAACACAACCCACAGAGAATTTCACATCATGATCATTTCAACTACAGTATATAAATATTGAAAGTAACATGCGCTTGTCATTTTAATTTCGCACTGAGCTCTGGTGCACTTTAAGTGACAAAGGAAATGAGAAGTTTTAATCTTGTTCTATCACTGTCCTCAGGAGAAGAAAAGCTCTATATTGAGTTCAAAGCACAGTCTTTTCTTCACTTTACTTACCCAACAAAAATTTTCCTTATCCTCTCTAAGTGTAAAAACCCAACTCATGTTTAATATATTTGTCCTCTTTTGAGGGGAGATGAAACACACCTTCCAATAACCTAAATGTAAAAACTCTATGCCACTATTAACAGCAATTACTATTAACAAAAAGTTACATTCTCAGTTGATGCTGTCCTTCTGCTCAACATCTTCATACCATAAAGAATTTATGGCATTGCGCTTCTTTTTCAAACCTGTTGGTCCTTGATACATAAATTTCTCAAAATCATTGGCAAAAATACTGTGCAGTAAAGTGATAGATGAGAATAACATGGCAAATACGTATCAGGTTTTATCTAACACAAAAAAGTGCTTGTTGGAATACGTATGACCTCCTACTATGTATAAAGTAGGATGCTAAGTAACAGTGATCTTTGCTCTACTTTTATTTATGGAAAACTGGGGAATAATTCTAGGTACTGAGGTAGGGAATAACTCTAGGTACTGGCCCTTTGGATGTTGTAAGGCTACCATTCCACCATCACTGACAATTGACCTTCTAGTTTGAATTTCTTTGAGCTGGAATCCAACATCTGGAGAGTCACAGGTTCTTCACCTGTAACTTGATATGAGTCCTAAGCATCCCAGAGGGCACACACCCTATCTCAGTCATTAAGATCTGTTCATCAGGTCCTGCTCTGCAGCCCATCATATTGGAATTTAGCTTATTCTGGATTTTATTTATTTATTTGAAACATTTCTATCCCATCCTTCATGGCAACATCTCAGGACTGCTTACAAAGCTTAAAATCAACAACAATAATAAAAATGCAATCAATAATACAATAGATAATAAATAGTAATACTAAATACAATCAGTAATAATAAAAGTACAAATTTAAAACAATAATTAAGAAAAATGAGTACATCACATTCAAAAGAATGTATGTATGTATGTAATTTAAATAAAAATGTGACTGTTAACATAACCATCTAAAATCCCTAATTCTTAAAATGAATTAAGAGCAGGTTCTTTTTGGTGGAAAGCTCTGAATAGCCTCCAACTTGCAGTCAGATTGGCATACTCCCTCTTCTCCTTTTAGTGAAGGGCACAGACTTATTTCACTATTCCTGCTCAGTTTAATCTTTCCTGACAATTTGGGAAAGTTCACACTTTCAAAGGGTGCCTTGGCTTTGTTTTAAATCTCCAATTTACCATTTTGGTTTATTTTACCGTATCCCTACACAACCTCATCTTAGTTTTAAATCAGGGTTTGTTTTCATTGCTTGGTACATGCAACTGTTGTTTTATAATATATCCTGCTCTGAGAGCTATTATGGACAAAAAGTAGTAAATAAATATTGCAAATCAACCTTGTTTTTCAACTTTAGCAGGGTTGCTGTGGGCAACAAGCAACTCTTATGAACAGGAAGAATGATGGCATTCTCCCACCTTGCACGGAGCAGAGAAGCCAAATGGGTTGCTAGAGAAGTCCCTTCCTTTGTCCCCGGCAAAACACAATGAGGGCTGCAAAAGGTTCTCTTTCCCTCCTCCTCCTGCCCTCAGTGGCTAACAATGGCATTTTCTTTTATTTTGTTTTGAAGGCTAGTAACTTCCCTGGGCTTATTTACAGGAACATTATATTACAATAAAATAATACAGACCCCTTTTATTATTTTCACCAGCAATTTTCAGTTCATTTCCACAGTTCTGCTCTTACTTGGAGAGTCAGCTCCAGAAAGCAGTATGTGAAGGATATTGCTTGGTCCTGTGGGGTTCCTCAAGGGTCCATTATGATGCAGAAAAATTAGAAAGGGTCCAGAGGAGAGCAAGAGGAATGATCCAGGGTTTGAAAACACTGTCCTAGGAGGAGAGACTGAAAGAATTGGGTATGTACAGCCTTGAGAAGAGAAGGTTGAGGTGATATAGTATGCTATCACTCTGTAAGTAACCTCAAAGGGTGACACAAAAAGGAAGGACAAGATCTCTTCTTGCTCATGTCACAGTGTAGGACATGGAAGAATCGGCTCAATTGGCCTTTCTGGCCCCTTCCAACTTTACCTTTCTATGATTTTATGTCCCCCATATTACTCAACATAAAACTGCTGGGAGGAGTCATCTGGAGTTTGCTATTTCACCTTTTCAGTTCCTTTGGGTGGCTAAATCAGTGCCTGGCTATCATAATAGATTAGATGAGACTAACAACCTGAAGCTTAATACAGACAAAATTGAGGTGCTGCTGGTGGGATGTTCCTCTGACCAGACGGAAGGTGCTCAACCTGTTTTAGATGGGTTCTGTTCCCCTTGAAGGAGCAGGCTTGCAGCTTGGGGGTTATTCTTGATCCATCTTTACCATAGTCTGGTAACCTCTAAGATAGATTACTGCAATGCATTCTACATGGGGCTACCCTTGAAGGCTGTTCAGAAGTGGCAGCTTTTGTAAAATGCAACAGCCAGGCTACTGATTCCAGTTCTGGCCTGTTTGCACTGGCTGCCTATATGCCTCCATGGCTGATTCAAGATGTTGGGTTTAACCAATAATAAAGCCTTGGAGGCTTGGGACTCCAATACCTGACAGAATGCCTCTTCCATCCACAATGTGCCCAGACACTACACTCAACATCAGCTATGCAAGAGTGCCAGTGTGATGTAGCGGTTAAAATGATGGACCGGGATCGGGGAGCTCCAGGTTTTAGTCCCAGCTCAGCCATGCAGCTCACTGGCTAACAGATGCTCAACCTAATCTACCTCACAGGCTGTTGTGAGGATAAAATTGAGAGGTGGAGGGAGATTATGTAAGCCATTTGAATTCCCTGAAAGGAAAAAGGCAGAATATAAATATAATAAATAAAAAACGTAGCACTCAGAGGAAGGTTCCAAGGGAAGGTCAGCTGACAGCAACAAGTAGGAGGGCCTTCTCTATGAGAATAAAACTGAGAGGCCCCAAGTTAAGACCACCCACTTAGTTGAGGCTTTTACCAACTCCAAAAAAAATAAAATTAAATTAAAATGGGAGTGGAGGGGTGGGTATTGCCAGCTTTTGCTTTTAAGCAAGCCTAGCAGTATGGACTTGTTTTTGTTGCTTAGTTGTTAAAATGTTGCTTTAATTTTTGTTAAATTAACTTCATATTTTTACTGTTGATTTATTTTGTATTGTATTTTACTGCATTTATTGCTCACTACCCAGAACGCTTCAGCTATCGGGTGGAACCGAAATAAAATAATAATTCACTTAGTCTGCACAGTCAATTGCTGCAGAGCACCCTTCTGCTTTCCAGAAGTGTTGGACTGCAGCTTCCATGTTCCCTCAGTCAGCGGTAGAAACAGTAGGGTAGAACTGTGGATCTTCATGCTATTTACAAAACAAATGCAAATACTGAAGACTGAAATTATAATCAGTTTTTAATGGCTTTTCCTCAGAGCTTCTTCAGTAGCTTCTCCTCAGATTTTACAATTACAGGCATGAAAAACTACATGCATAATGGTTGATATTCAGGGTGGATAAAATCAATGTTTTGTTTTTTAAAATAAAAATCAGATTTAAAAAAATTAAATCAGATTTTTTAAATTTAAACTGGATTTTTTTTAAATAAAATGCTTTTTGAGGAAAAATCTATCTAAACATAGTTTTCTATTTAAGATACCTTATAATTCAGAAGTTATTCATCATGAAATAAGAATTAGTTTATAATTATCTAGCATGAAGCTTTATAGTCACATAATGTTTAAATGTTTTGGTAAATTAATTTCATTAATCCATTCACAATGTCATGCTTTTCCAGAGATTTCTGTAAGATTATAAGGCAATTATTCTATCTAGAAGATACTATCACAGATACTTGGTTTTACAGTTTCTGTAAAATTTGTGTCTGTAGAGATCACATGCCTCTTCTTCACAGCAAAAATGTTATAAAATAAACATACAGAGTTGAGAAAAAGACCCTAATCCCATTGTTCCTTTGCAATTCTATGTACATGGCCCCTTACCTCTTAAGTGCTAAGTTTCAAAAAATTCCATGTGTAGAAGAAGATTGTTGGGAGTGGAATAGATCTGCACAAGAAGCTGTGAGGAGGTGGCCAGGGGAGGGGGGACAGTAAAAACCATTTGAGCAGAATATTCTGGAAGTCTTTGGATATTTTTATGTATAGCCTGAGGTTTATCATATAAACCTATAATGGCAGCAGGCCCAGTTTGGGAATATTTTAATGAAGTTCCTCTACCTATGGATAAGGCAGGCATGTGTTCTAATTATGTAGAAAACCATGATTTAAATCAAATCCACCCGGATAAAATGTGTACAAAATAGTACAAATTATAAACTCATTGGCTGTTTCCTTGAACTTGGCACTTTAGAGATTTTGCTGTTATAGTAAAATTAACAACAACTCATGAAAATGTTAACAAATGTTAACTTTTGTGTTGGAGTTCAATAAGGATTTTGACTAAATCCAATGCTGGCTTTAGGTTTTCAAGGCCCTTGAGCAAGACACTTCAAAAGCCCCTCCTGCAGGCCTACTTTCTCAGTATCATTGTCTCCACTTGCTGATGCTCTTCTTCATCTTTCTCATCACCGCTTGCCAAGGAGGGAGCAAGCAGGTCACTGCATCATGCTCTTCTTCTTACCCCAGTGTTGTTTGGGCCCACGCAAGGAGCAGGTTAAGGCTACAACAGTGAAATTGCTGCAGAGGCTACTTGTCAAGGACATAAAAATGCACCCCAATCAATAATGAGCTCTCTCTGCTACACCATCATTAGGTTCACCCTCTACCTAGGATGAGCCTAGGATGTTGGTTGTCTTGCCTGTGATACTGAAAGGCTGGAAAAGGAAAAAGGGCAACAGACGATTAAACCAGCTGAATACTTTGCTTAAAGAGAGAGGAATTAACTGGCTTTAAAAACTTTTTGCAATGTCCAGCCAAATGCAATACCTAGACAAAGATGACAGCTAGGCCTTCCTGAGTTGGGAAAAAAAAAAATCAAACAGTGTGCCAAACAGGTGGTGCCAGTCCACAAAAATTACTAATCCTACATCTGTATTTCAGACATGAATCATAACAACATTCCTCAGCACAGGAGAGATACATTCATTTACACTGTAATAATCTTACTGTTTGTGGCTGAGGCAAGCCCAGCAGTATTAGGCCTGAAGGATTAAGAGGCTAATGAATGTTTGTATGTCAGCAGTTTAAAAATCTGATGAGGTGGAATGGCTGCAATACACTTTTAAATTTGCCAGCCCTTTAAACACAAGATCTTTCTGACCAAATGACAGTGAGAGGAAAAGTCTTTGGAAATAGTCTTAAAGGCATATGAAAAACCAAGAGACTATTGTTCCTTTCATGGTACTCTCCTTACTAGCAGGATTGTGTGGACAAGACATTTTGGAGGGCATTCATTCATAGGATCATCTTAAATCTGAAACGATGTCACATAGCAACAGCAATCCTCTCTAAGACAAGCTAATATTGAGACTGATAGCTAGAGATGCAATTGCAGGATAGAAACTGTAGTGAATGCTGTAGTGGTCAGATTTGTCTACCTACGACTGGCAAGATCTCGGTTCAGCTCTCCACTCAGTTATGAAACTCACTGAGGGAGCTTTGGCCAGTCTCACTCATCTCACATGGTCATTGGAAAGATAAAACAGGGGGAAGGGTGTCCACCACTGTGAACTCCTTGGAGGAAAGGCAGATATAAAGGCAACGTGAACAACACGAGAAGAAAGCCAAGCCTTTGTTTATGAAGCGGCCAGAGCAACAAGGCGACAGCTGCGAAACAGCGAACGCGGCGGCTGAGAAGTCACCGGGCTACACGAGGCTATTAAAAAGCACAAATCCTGTGCGTAGTTACTTGGGAGCGATCCCCATTAACCACAGCGGAGCGTACTTCCGTGTAAACACGCAACGGATAGGACGTTGGCAAGCAGAAAGTTTAACAGATGATTCTGCAAATTCCGTGATAATCGAGCAATGTTTTTGCTGCAGCTACAGAACAGTTCCACAGAACTCTTATTTCCACGAACTGCTCGCCTGTCCCGCCGACAGGGTCGCGTTACCTCCGCCCTCCTGCTTGGTTACTCTGCTTCCCACCAGCAGGTGCACCGGCCGGAAAATATTCTCCCCACCCCACCCACCTCTCAGCTGTTCTAAGCAGCAACTACTGGCTGCGGACGGCCCTGTTGCACAACTCGCGGGCTACTTTCTGCGCTCAACTGCTCAAGCAATCGATCGCTCCCCAAGCCATCGCGGAAGAAACCGACAAGCGGGACCGGGCTGCATGCAAAGCGCTGAACTCGGGAAGCATTTTTTGGGAAGGGGGGAAGGAATGAGGATTCTGAGAAAAGATCAAAAGGATCTTTCTAAATGGGGCCATCAGGTCAGTCCGATGAGGAAGGGGCATCCCTTAACAATCGCCGAGAGCGAGAAGCTGTACCGCGGAGCGCAGAAAGCGCCGCAGTGGCCGCAGCTGCAACAAGTGAAAGGAAAAGAAAGTTTGAAATTCTCCTTCCCCACAACTCTTAGGCAACACCCGCAGCCTACTGGATCTGCCGCTTTCCTGGGAGGGCGCCACTTTGTTTTAGGGGACCGGAGTCTCCTCGACGTGGGGACGAGCGAGAGGGGCATATCAAACTTAACTATCTCCGAGGGGAAAAATAAATAAAGTACATTACCTCTAGCGGAAGGCAGCCATGACACAATAACATCCTGGCAATGTTTTTCCTACAACTCCCATGATTCCTGGAGGCGGGCATCTCCCATGATACCGCCGGACAATATTTTAACCCTTTAAATGCAGAGAAGGAAATCGTAATGTTCCTAAGGCTGGATAGCAAGCTTAATTTGTTTCGTTGAACTCACTCTGCGAAGGTTGTTGTTGGCCATTGTTCCTTGTTTTATCATAGCATTCGCACAGCAATGTAGTGGTGAAGTGAGATTTTAGGAGAGTGAGTTGGCCCAAAGTGGCAGTCCGCGGGGATTTTTCATTTCTGGGTAGG